CCATCCAGCTGAGGCTCACCCAGTGAGGCTCACCCAGTGTGGCTGACCCAGCGTGGCTGACCCAGCGAGGCTCACCCAGTGTGGCTGACCCAGCGTGGCCCACCCAGCGTGGCTCACCCAGCGTGGCTCACCCAGCGTGGCACCAGGAGACCACAGCTGCCGGGAACACTGTACCTTGATGGAGATGAGCCCAGCGATGAGGGGCAGGAACACCGTTTCCTCTCCGTCCCAGCTCTGCCTGCCGTTGACTTCGATTTTGCCTTTCAGCTTCCACCGCTGTCGGCCGTACTTCATGAAAATCTGGGGAGACACCACGGGCACGCGTCCTCACCTGCCTCCAGCCCCGAACACCGCCCTCCTTCCCCACCGTCCTCTCTCCCAAACTCCTGGGCTCCGAGCGTGGAGCCGATGCTGAGTGGGGAGACCTCGGGAGGGGGGTTCTTGTCTGGAAGGCCCGGGGTGGGAGCTCTTTCTTTAGTAAAGATCGTCGCCCCTACCCGTCTGCTCACATGTCCTGCTCCTTTCCCAGGCCAGTCCCACTTCCATAGGACAGCCAGGACTGACTCCCAGTCCCAGCCCGTACAGACGGTGGGCATCTGCTAAAATCTACTCAGCGGTCAGAGCAAGAGATAAGATGTCCCTTGCCCAGACGGCGTGGCTCAGTGGTTGAGCGTCGACCCATGAACCAGGAGGTCACGGTTCGATTCCCAGTCAGGGCACAGGCCGGGTTTGCAGGCTCGATCCCCAGTGTGGGGCGTGCAGGAGGCAGGCGATCCATGATTCTCTCTCATCATTGATGATTCTCTCTCTCTCTCTCTCCCTCTCCCTTCCTCTCTGAAATCAATAAAAACATTTATAATAAGCTGCAGAAGGGCCACTCTCCAGAGCATCTCAGCCATGAGGTCCTGCTTTGGCTCAACAAACTCCCATAAGCTTTTCTGTGTGCACGTTCCTGTGTCGACGGGGTCTTAGGAGAACGGAGGGGCGAAGGATCACAGTGTCTGCACGTCCCTCCCGAGAGCTCAGCAAAACAATAACAACGGTGACGGTAACAGTAATAACACAGCCATCGAGGCGCCTGCTAAACTCAGTGAGTCCAGACAGAAGCTACACAAGGGCCTGTGTTCCTCTCCAAATGTTCCTGTTGGCTTCATCCCCCCCAATAACAAGTGTAAAAATGAAACAGGAAATTTAAGGAGCAGAGTAATGAAGACCGAGCCCTCTCCCCCAGGCCTCCATCCCGACACCCGGCCACACACTGCACTTACTTCGTACTGGTCCCCGGGGCAGAGGCGCGCGAAGCCGGCCAGACCTGCAAAGGGCAAGCAGTCGGACGTGAGGTGCGGAACGCATTTCCCGCTTCACGACCCCACACACCGGCCCCTCGACACGCTCACGCGGAGGGTAGGACTTCTGGGAACTCGTGTAGTAATACTTGGGGCCTCTGTGGGGGGAGCTACTGGGGTGGCGTTTCTGTATGACTCTAAATGTTTTGGTATGGTGTCCTGGGCGGTATGCTCAGTGGTTAGAGTGCTGGCCCATGCACCGAAGGGTCATGGGTTCGATTCCCGGTCAAGGACACGTCCCAGGGGTTGCAGGCTCGATTCCCAGTAGGGGGTGTGCAGGAGGCAGCCGAGCCATGGTTCTCTCTCATCATTGATGTTTCTTTCTTTTTTTAAAAAAAATATTTTTTTATTGATGTCAGAGAGGAAGGGAGACTCATCATTGATGTTTCTATCTCTCCCTCTCCCTTCCTCTCTAAATAAAATTAAAAAAATCATGAGAGGGGCACACCAATAGGCAACGCCAAGGTTAAGGGAGGCCTAACAAAGCCCCCGCCGTGGCCACGACCGGCCAATAGGTGGCAGCAGCCGCCAGCGTGCTAGGGCCGCCACCCTGAAGTCCAGGGAGAACCAGGCGTCAAGAACACACGCCCGGTCCTTTCTGAGCCCCGCCCTGTGGGGTGGGCGCTGTCCTGGGCTGTGCACCTGCCAGACGGGCCTCCCGATCTCACTCAGAGGTGACACTGGGGAGCCTGCCTCCTCCCAGGCCGTGAGGGCACCCTTCCCACCCCCAGGCCTCCGGCGGTCTGACCCCAGGCGGCTGGGCCAGCGGTCGCTATTGCACCAAGTAGAGGGCACTGGCTCAGCCACCGTCTCCTCCAGGAGGCTGTGGGGACTCAAGGCCAAGGGCCCGCCACCCAGATGCACACAGCCTCGTGCGTGGCCAACAGCAGTAAGTTGGGTTTTTTGGGTTATTTTTCCATAGGTTTTTAGAGAGAGTGGAAGGGAGAAAGGGAGAGACAGAGAGAAACATCGATGTGAGAGAAACACATCGACTGGCTGCCTCCTGCACGCACCCCGACCAGGGCTGGGACCTGCAACTGAGGCCCATGCCCCTGACCAGAATCGAACCCGGGACCCTGCAGTCCGCCGGCCAATGCTCTATGCACTGAGCCAAACTGGTTCTTCACCCATCGTCTCATCTGCTGTCCCCTCTTCCCCCCTCCACAAGCCATCTGCGTTGGGGGGAAGGGGAAGTGTGCTGGGTGTGGCGGGCGGAAGTGGCGGCTGGGTCTGCGTGTTGTGAAATAGCCCCAGTTCGCGTCGGTGGGTGTGTGGGGCGGCTCTTTTTCCCAGAATGAACAACAGATAAGCAGGTCGCTCATGGCAACGCTGGGGGTTTCCTGGCAGCGGGAGGGCTCCCTTATCGAGGGGGGGCCGTTTCCGTGGGGCGTCCCCAGGAAGCCTGCCCAGCTGCGCGTTGGGGTTTTGTGTGAGATGAGGGAAGTGAACCTCGATGAATCTACAATGATAAAGGGGGAGCGGCCCCAGGCCTGAGAGACCCCCCGAGAGAAGCTAAGGAGGGAGGACAGCGGGGCAGGGACAGGGTGCAGGTGTGGGAGCCACAGAGGGGTCTCCGTCCCCGACAGGCAGCCCACGGCCGGGACGCTGATGACAGGGTGGCCAGGTCCCCAGGGGAGGGAGGTCTGGCCCAGCACCCCCAGACCAGCAGCCCTGCAGCTCCAGACCAGATGGGCGGGCCCCTTGGCTGCCACCCGCTCCCAGGTCCCCTCCTGGGAGCAACCGTGTGTCGTGCCCACTCAGCTGCCTCAGGACGTCCGATCCCACAGGCTGTGGCGGGACGTCCTGAGAGCCAAGGGCCCTGGGACTCAGTTCCTTTGTTGTTGTTAATCTCACCCGGGGATATTTTCCCATTGATGTTTAGGGAGAGTGGGGGGGAGAGGGAGAGACAGAGAGAAACATCCATGTGAGAGAAACACATGGACTGGTTGCCTCCTGCACGCACCCCGACCAGGGCCCGGGCCGGGGAGGAGCCTGCAACCCAGGTACGTGCCCTTGACTAGAATTGAACCCAGGACCCTTCGGTCCACAGGCAGACCTCTGTCCGCTGAGCCACACCGGCCAGGGCTAGGATTCGGTTTCAATGAACAGGCGCGGGAGGGCTGAGCAGGGATACAGGAACAGCGTGGCCGAGAATACCTTTCATCCGGATGCAGAACTCGCCCAGCAGGCTCTCCAGCTCCACCTCGATGGTGCACATGTTCTGTGAGGGGACAGGGGCGGGGACGGCGCTGGTCAGGGCTGGGCAGCTTCCGGTCAGCCCAGAGCCCCTGGCGCTCGCACGGC